ACCGGGTCTAAAACCGGCCTGGTTTTCACGCGTGCACCGTTCACGAGCGGCAGACAATCGGCGGAGTATGATACCAGCGAGAAGTTTAGAGACGATGTTGATTAAACTAATTCCTCTATGGTTTTCACAAGAGGATCTGTCACCTTTCTTGTAAATCGGTATGATCACCGATTCATACGAGTCAGTTGGAACCTGTTCTCTCTCTCACACTGAGCCCAGGAGTTTCGTTACCTGCGAAACCAATAGTAAACCTCCATCTTTAAAACCCGATGGGGACGGCCCTTCTGGGCCTGAAGCCGTATGTCTTTTGAGGTAGCTTATTTCCCGGGAAACCTCCATTTCAGATGGAAGACTGGCATCGACTGGCAGAATTTGCGCAGTCGCAGTGGAGAGTGACAGTTCAGATGTCGATGGGGGCCAGTTGAACTGAGCCTTGAAATGTTCAGCTCATCGATCAAGACTTCGTTGCTGATCGTGAATTCTTGTGCCATTACATTCCCTAATTACCTCACGCTTATTTACTTATGACCCGTATTCCTAACTAGACGGAAAAGATTGCGGCTATTACCAATAGCCAGAGCAAGAAAATGCATGGCCAGTATTTGCAAAAACTTAATTAAACTGATCTGACCTGAAACCGTGGACTGTATGAACCCTAGGTCTACCTGTGGCAAATATGAAACTGTTTATTAGCCAGGAAAACTACCTAGTAGCTGGAGTGCATAGGATCGAGGGTGTCTCACAATTTATGAGCTTTAGGCTAATTTGATGTCACAAACTTTTTATTGGTATTTGGAGATTTTTATTTTGATAGAACTGCATCCGTTCTTCTATTAGCTTGTTAATAACCTTGAAATTAATACATTTGTTTGCCATTGAAATGCAGTTTACACTTCTTTAATGATCTGTTTCGATTTACAGTTTCACTCGTTATTTTCAGCTTATTATTATATGCGCATTTGTTTAATAGTCATCAGGTTGAATTTCAGTTTTTACAACCATTAACCATTAATTTTTATGTACCGGTTTTGGTTGTTGTCGTTTGGTTGCCCATTTGGATGAGAGAACAGACTGAAGGCTGGAATAATGAGAGAAGAGTCGAGGAATATATAGAGAATTCATATAGACTGGGATGGCAACAGTTACGAGTAGGCACACGAGCGCTACTGTTTGCGATACACATCTACATTATTCAGTTTGTCAAATCACTGGTTAATGTGATCTCGGGGTGTCCATCCAACCCAACGGTATCCATGTGACTCAGTCTACTGATAAGTGTTTTCACATCCTCATACTAGATCTTAGTTTGAACACCTTTGTTCTTCCATCTGCTGCCTGCCTCGACAAAATTAGCTCTTAACAGGTCCACTAGGTGAGATATGGCTGCACAAGTAGCC